ATCAATCAGTACACATCCAACATCCAATGGATTTAGTGTAAAGACGGCATAAACAGTCGGAGAAAAACATGACCTTGTGCAATGCCAAGATACAGGTATCGACAGATTGTAGAGCCATAAAAATCAATACGCATATGTATATAAATATAATATTTAGTTTTGTTTTAATTTACTGATAACAAAATCAATATTAATACCAATAAAACAATATTCAAAGATCTAATTACAGTGTTGAATTGGTAACCTTTTAGAATAAATTTATTTAAATGATCCGGACCATTTCTAAATTTCCGGGCTCGGTAAACAACATATCTGTAAAAATTAGGATGTTTTACCCCATTTGAAATAAGATTTCTGCAGGTACAACCAAACTTCAAAACCAAATCTTTATATATCTATGGAAGAATTTAGTAAAAGTTTTAAGTAATTTGTGGTAACGAAATCCCTGATTTAATTATTTACCGGTAATACATAGATTACGTTCATTGAAACCCAAAACGTCACAGCAAACACGGGCATAGCGAACGAGTTGTGATATATAAACACCGTAAGATGGGGCCAAAGGAACATCACCGTCCAAAAAAGGAAAATTAACAATAGGGAACGAAAAATCGTAAATTTTAGTGTAGAGTTTCCCGTGTGAAACTGAAATATCTAAATCTAGGAAAAGACAGTTATTACCGTTTATATTTGATTTATTTAGAGTAAGTTCCTATGGGTAAATTGCAGGTATAATTAGAAAATTCTTGATTTTCTAACGAAAAAATATCATCAAGGTTACGGTAAGTGTTGTTGAATTTATCAATTAAATGCAATTTAGACGGGACTTTACTGAGTTTGGTCATAAACTGTGGTTCATAACAGTACAAGAACAAGTCTGATATAGACCTTTTATTAAAAAGATTTTAAAGTGAAGACTTATGAAGAGGCGGGGAAAATCACAACTTCCTGCACAATGTCAAATATAGTGCGCGTAAGATAATTGACCCAAATGCAATGACAATACAATTGAAATGCAATCAACATGCAGATGCTAGACCCAATGTACGAAATCTGATCACAGTTAATAGTTTACGAGCCGGTATAATATGACATGAGAAAGAAACAGGTTCGAATAGTACGAAATTAGAACTTATAGAGACCATGTTCTTTGAGAGGGCAATATCTTCTGTTTGGTATAAATTATCCGACAAGCGAGTCACCGGTTCTTGTAATAAACGTATCAAAACAATAGTACAATGAGACTTGAGCTGGACATCAAATTGTTCTATATAGTTACACCTTTAACTAAACTTTTACTACTTTATGGAGTACAAATTTATTATCAAGTTACAATGGGATTGTATTTTTAATTTAATACTCGAATAAATTGATATAAGAAGATGTGGTATGAGTGCCAATGAGACAACTCTCCATCCAAGTAAAAATTTATAAAAGTAAACCATTATAGGTCAAAGTACGGTCTTCAACACGGAGCCTTTGCTCACACCGAACAGCAAGCTATAAAGGGCCCCAAAAAATTACTAGTGTAAAACCATTCAAACGGGAAAACCATCGGTCTAATCAATATTAAAAACGAGAAACGGGAAACACTTATGAACCACATCAACAAACGACAACTACTGAACATCAGATTCCTGACTTAAGACAGGTGCAAACAATTGCAGCGGGTTTAAACGTTTTAATAGTACCAAACCTTCACCCTTATCTGAAACAATAGTGTAACATCACAACATAGAAAGACACACTATAAAATATCAATTGACATGGCTTAACTCAAACAAAATACATATTAACACCAGTGAACATACACTGAACAAATAAATTTGATCTATGATACAATGTAAATATAAAATAAATAAACTAAGGGAACATGTATACATCGATTCACAATGCAAACAATCCTAAATTATCTCTGACAGAACAATTACAAACTGAGATTTTAATTTTGTATAGCATCGATTATAAAGAATATTGAATTAACGCTGTTGCATACTGTGTTCTTATATGTTTCATTTTGAGGAATAATCTTTTCACTTAGATAGTTGATACCTTGTTTATTGATTCATCAAACATTTGGAAACATGCAGCTTATCCTATGAAATATCAATATATAAAAAAAAGAAATGTGGTATGATTGTCAATTAGACAACTATCCACGAGAGAGTTCAAATGACGTGGATGTAATCCATTCTTGGTCACCGTACGGCCTTCAACAATGCGAAAAACCTTTACCGTATAGTCATGAAAGGCCAAGACACAGAAAACTATCGGCCTACTTTATAACAATACAATTTACGGACAAGAAAATTGATGGACATGAACCAACGACAACTACTGAATCACATGCAGGCACCTGACTTGGTACAGATTCATATCGAATGTAGCTGTGTCAAACATGTTTGTGAGCGCTCAATCTTCTCCCTTGTATAAAGACTGTTCTGGTATTGTTCAGCTGACATCCATTTGTGTAATGCCATGGATTGTCATGAATATGCAATTGAGATGTAAATTTGTATGGCGTGTTGAAGACGTTTGTGTGACTTTCAGATGAAGATCGCAATAAAAATCACGGTTCACTTAGTTATTCTGTTCAAATGTGTATATGGTTTCTGTGTCATGAATCATTACACCACTTTTTTTAAATTAATAATTTTTAAATTAGAATATTTATCTTTTTTCTTCTAAGTGGCATATGAATTATTACAATATAAACCCAAAATGACACGAGTAGCAAGGAAAGTACAAACTCGTAAATATTCAACGGTTAAAGGTTCACACTAACTGTTTAAAAGGAAAGAACGAAAAAGAGAACATTAACCTTTTTTTGTCTTCTATCAGCTACGGTTTTAAGTGTTTGAACTTATTTCAAAGAGATAATTAAAAGGATTACATATTGACTTTAAAAACATTAAACTGTTAAAAGATTTTAGCCTCACGAAGCATTTAAGTAAATGTGAAGCTTTTAAAATTTTCTTCTAAACAAACTGTCAATTACTTTCTAATTTGACATAACCTCACGATCGATGTATTAACATACATTCATTCTAACTAAGTCTAGTAACCTAGTAAAGCCGTTTTTTACTTGGATATGCATCAAGAAAATCCGCATTAATTGTACAACTTATAAATAAAGATGGTATTGATCACCATTTGAAATTGTATACCGTTCAATGTGTTTATTGATTTATATTGTATCTACAATTTCTATAAAGTATCTGCATACAAATGCTATCGGATTTGTTGCACATGACTAGTACAACATGCAGATATATATCTTATTTAAACCACGCATTGCGTAAAAAATTGTACTGTTTATTATTTATGTTTATATTTTCTCCTTGTTTTATAGGTGTAGAGCCTCCTTATCTGTATTGATTGATTTTGTTTAACGCCCCTTTGAGCAATATTGTGCTTTTTCATGGTAGTCAGGTTTTATTGGTGGAGGCAGCCGGAGTATACCCCCTATAAGAATTCAATCAACAGGAAGTTGACAAGCGATGAATCTGTAAATACCCCTATAAGAATTCAATCAACAGGAAGTTGACAAGCGATGAATCTGTAAATACCCCCTATAAGAATTCAATCAACAGGAAGTTGACAAGCGATGAATCTGTAAATACCCCCTATAAGAATTCAATCAACAGGAAGTTGACAAGCGATGAATCTGTAAATACCCCCTATAAGAATTCAGTCAACAGGAAGTTGACAAGCGATAAATCTGTAAATACCCCCTATAAGAATTCAATCAACAGGAAGTTGACAAGCGATAAATCTGTAAATACCCCCTATAAGAATTCAATCAACAGGAAGTTAACAAGCGATGAATCTGTAAATACCCCCTATAAAAATTCAATCAACAGGAAGTTAACAAGCGATGAATCTGTAAATGCGTTATAAGCAACACCTAGCTTGATGCAAATTTTCAGGTAGCTCTGATTTGTAGCTTCTGAGAAAAATGTGACCAAAATATTGTGGACAGAAACACCAACAGACGGTGACCAGTGTATCCCTTCCTTTGGAGCGGGGTAGAGTAAAGAATTAACTCTGAAAACCGAACATTTAAAACGTTTGAGAGCCTCTAAAGCAAATAGATATACCCGTAATCGTTTCGTATTATCTATAAACACTAGGTGTGTTGACTAGGTTAGAGTCTACTCCTTTGCAAATTGTACCTACTATTCTACGGGGACATATAAACGAATAGGTTCCGTGGGCATATTACATAATAATTGTATAACATTTATGACGGTCTGAAATGGGGTGCGGGTCTTCATTTCTGTATTTTATAATATTGAGGGCCACCTTTCTCTATGCATTATTGTCGGCCCATCATTCTCTATTCGGTTAAGCACGGAAACAATCGACACAAAAAGTGTTGGAAACCAGGAGAAACCCGTTGACTGATTGTAATACTGTAGATCCGCATATTCTATTCCAGATTTGTTACCTCATTTAAGTTTTGATGTTTTGGACCCACGAAACTAATACATTAAGAATTTTAAAAGGTATTTTCAATTACGTTACATTCTTAGAAAGAAAGCTATGATACGCTTATTTCGACATATACCGAAAACATTTTAAATATCTTGCTAGCAAACAGATTTCATGTTTTGTAAGAGGTTTAAATTTTATTAGTTATGGGTTTTTGTCAATTATTCTCTATCTTTGTTATCATGCACCTTATTCTTCTCTATTTTTTTACTAACTGTCCCTATTTTTTATTTGTATGCTCATTACGCTCTATTAAATTCTATAATTCCCATTCAGACCCTCCTATAATTTTGTTTAAATAATCCTGACTCTCTTCTAACTAATATGACACAACCAGTATTAATTCTATTAATTAAAAAAAATATATAAGAATAATTCAATGACATGATCTCAATTACATCAATGATCTTTAATCACAAAACATTAAAATTCTCAAAAACAAAAAATAATATAAAGTGTCTTTTAAATATTTAAAAAGAAAATTTATATTTTGTTTATGAACTTACCTAATTTTACCGTGAACTTTACTTGATCGTTGAGTTAAACCTCCTAACACCACTATTGTCTGGTAAATCAACATTAATGTTATCGTGTATATGTTTATATTGTAGATATACAACCTATAATCCCGAACGTTGATGTAAAATTGACTTTAAGTCTATTGATCACCCTAAGAAATAACCGTTCAATAAGTTATACAATTTATCATTAGACTGACACATTGTATAAGGAAAATTAATTGAAATTGGATAAATTTTTAAAGAATAAGACGTATTCCAATCTATTATAAGGTTTTGTCCCGTGTGATATACTTACCATAGATCAATATATATTCTGTATGGACATAAACTTTTTTGCCTTATGCTACACAATGTTGATATAAGGAATGGAAATTTTAACCACTTAAAAGAGTGGGATATACTACCTTCACCTTGTCCGTCCGTCCGTCCCTTCGTTCGTCCAACTCATATGTTCGTCAACTTTTTCTCCGAATTAAGGATCATGATGATGACGAATTGTTAAACATCCAGTGGCCAATATTAGGAATATTTCAGTTGAATATTAATATAAACCCTGTTTTGTACTAGATGTAAATGTTCAGCCGGATTATCAAAGTGATAGTTCACAAGGCAATAGTCAGAAAGAAGTTGATTCGCCATAACCGTTCAATAAGTTATACAATTTATCATTAGACTGACATCATTTATTAAATCAATCTCTTCTTCTAGTCTTTATTTCCATTATATAGAGAATAATACATGGCAAAATCCGTATCACATGCCGTATCATCCCGAGATACCAATATAAGCCCGAGAGATGATATTGGTCGAGGGTTATACGGCATGTGATACGGATTTTGCCATGTATTATTCTCTATATAATGGAAATAAAGACTAGAAGAAGAGATTGATTTAATAAAAAAAATCAATGGAATCCTAATAGGACACGAAAGATATTGCATTACATGTGATATATCTAAATTTTACTACGTTATAATGTATCGCGGAACGTCTTCCATTTTTCTGTGAGATTTTTGAAAGATCATCTGCAACACAGGTAATTCATATAAATATTGCAATGCACTTTGATTCGATAAACTTACAATACGAAGTGTCAGAAATCGCTTTGTAGTTATAAGTTTTAAATCCCTTTGTATGACCTGAATTAAACTTGTTAAATTGTTTGATAGTTGTTTGCAATAGAAGAGTGAATATCTCTCATCAAAAGTTCGATTTCCCCTTTAAAGATGTTTATCTAGATGATATTTTACTTTCCAAAATAATTGACATATGTACTTACATACATTCTCTTTAGAAACGCCTTTTGTAAATGTGTTTAAATTCGTTTTAAAACCCTTGTAGGCGACAAAAGTATACATTGTCTTTTTTATGCCGTTGTTGACATTTTTAGGAGGTTTTGATCAGAGCGTGTATTTTTTAAACTCTCAATTGAACAAATAAAGAAAGAAAATTTGAAAACTATGCTTAAAAATTGATCATGAATCTTTGATTTTTACTTTGAATAATAAAATAATTGTTTATCAAAGTACATTGACAAATGAACGATACCAATAAGTTCGTTTTTAATGCATATTTTTGTAAAATTTTCGGAGGCTATATTATTTATATCTACAGAAATGTCCAAACAAGAATCAATGTAAAACATATTCTACAAAACAAAATTTTAAAAATCTCAATTTCCATTAAAACAAACAAGCTTTATAATACAAAAAATGAAGAAAAGATGAGAAATTGAAGTTTGTGCTAAAATCCCTCAAATAGACCAAAACAGCATTTTTTAATCATCGCATTTCTACCAAATAGTGTGGTAAAATGTTGAATCGATGACTACTGTTTTGAATTTAAGAGTGGAAAACAAAAATGCTGCCATACAAACTTTATTGTTCTTCATCGTTAATTTTCAGTTATAGGTTACAGATTTACATTAAACTGAAGTAAAATACAAAATTGCATAATAAGCGAGCCTGGAAAAAGGTGACGCTAATTTTAGTTGTTACATTTACATGTAAGAGTAAATGTTTTATTAACCACGTATCAAAATGTACATATGCTCCTACATTGGTTCTAAATTTTATTGTAATAGTTGTTTTTTTTTTATTTACTATTCGTACCACGATTTCATTTATGCTTTTCAAAAAAAATTTCTATGTACTGGTATTATTTTTTTTAATTATATATGATATAAAAAAAATAAATAAAGCTGGATCCAACTATTTCAGGCAAACTGATGCAGCAAAATTTTATGAAGATTTCTTTTATTGGTCATGATGGCGTTATAAATTCAAATTCAATATCAATTATTTATCAACAGACGGTCAACAGAATCACCGACGATAGCACGAATAATCGAAATGTTGTTATATGTTAAATGAAAGTGGTATAAATTTAATATTATTGAGTTATGTTATTTTTAAGTTGATGGATTTTAGTATATTCCAAATACGAGACGCCCAAGCATGACAAAATGTGACACAATTCAAACAAACAAACGAAAACAACTATTCCATGCTAAAACAACAAAGAAAAAAAAATGGAAAAAGAAACAATCGGCAACCACTGAATTCAAGAAAGTTTTTATTTACTGTAGTCTTCTTTCAAACATTAGAATAACAATATAGATTTAGAAACAAATGTTATATCTATGTAATAGGTTCTTTGACCGACATGTGTTCTAAAACTTGTATATTGAAGGTTATCTTGCATAAGTTCCATTTTACCATTTTTTTTCTTCAGATGTATGACTAAATCGTTTTAGAGAAAAACACATGACACACACATATCCCTGGCAAAATGCGACAAAATTGGCAAAATTGGTAAACAAAAAAGATTTTGCAGTATTCGTCATACATGTATAGACGAAGAAAAACATATATATATATGTATATATATATATAATTACTCTAAATATCAGCACAACAATGTTAAATCTGCAAATTTTTGTATCTTCCCTCGCCGGGATTCGAACTCATATATAAATAGAAAGAGGAAGACTTGTAAACGGGAGAAGGCCTACTTCTTGTATGTTCGATTTGATCAAATTATGGACAAACTGAATGGGGACTTTTATACTACTGGAATATGGACTTCATGATCTAAGAACTCATGTGTTAGCAATGCTTAGTAGCAAAACAGCAATTCATGCGATTCTATGTTTCACCCTTGACCTTTAGAGTATAGTGGGTAAAAGCGTCCATTTCGTGTTCCTTTAACTCCCCCCCCCCCCCTCCCCAGGTGACTGGGAAATAGACATAAGGTCATTAAGTATAAATAAGAAGATGTAGTATGAGTGCCAATGAGACAACTATCCATCCAAGTCACAATGTGTAAATAGTAAACAATTATAGGTCAAAGTACGGCCTTCAACACGGAGCCTTGGCTCACACCGAACAGCAAGCTATAAAGGGCCCCAAAATGACTAGTGTAAAACAATTCAAACAGGAAAACCAACGGTCTAATCTATATAAAAAACGAGAATCGAGAAACACTTATGAACTACACCAACAAACGACAACCACTGAACAATTAAGGTCTTCATACGACCGGCTGTAAAACCCTTTTCAAATTGGGGCGTTCGTTTGGCTGTGCGGGATTTACAAGTACTCAGCCACGTCTAGTCAAAATGGGGACGTGAAATCCGGTGCCTCGTGTAGAGAGAGTGGCACGCTCTTTGCATGTGAAGAACCCTTGCAACAACTCTTTGAGTGGTCCGTAGATGGCTTGTTGCACGGCAAAATTTCTGTTCCTATTCATTATATATATTTCCAGTGGCAATCCAAATTTCCCCGAACTTCATTCCGGACGGCCTTTATTACAGGACTTACCTATTGTATTTATTATTTCCTGAACACGGAAATTATATTTGCCACTAGACGATAAGCAATATTTAACCATTCGCGCGCCGTTAACAAAAGCTGTCCAGTTGCGTTGAAGTTTCACGTCAAAACTTTACAAATAATGAAAATATTTTTATTTCAAGCGTATTTAAAGTTGATCAATAGAAAAAAAAAAGATAAAGGGCTTCACTAAATTGAAATATGAATATAACATGTTACAGTACGATAAACGCCTTATTTTTTAGCAACACAAAACACGGTATAAACTTAAGGGTGAATTGTTCCTGCTCCACTATTCCCCCAAGACCAAAGATGTCAAGTTAATAATTTGAGATTTTTATTTATAAATGATATTACTTGAATCGAACGAGTATTTATATACATACTTTATGTTTCTTTAAATATTTGGGGAAGAACGTGTCCTGAAAAAAAATATACAGTTGTAAATTTTATTTTAAGAAAAATTCAACAGCTACTTACCAAATATCTCTGACCATTTTGTTCAATGAAGTGAACCATATACTGTAAAGATTGATTAGCCGGAAAATGTATTGGTCATATAGACATTCATTATCTACTTAAAGCACATAAGTATATTAAATCCAATAACTATTGGTAATCGATTTCATATAGATTAAAATTCCATACAGAAGCCCCACATAACCATCGTCACAATAAAATGCAGAGAAATTCAAATAATAATGTGGAAGTTTAAATCAAATGTATTAATAATATAAGTCTAACGAAAAATAAATGTTTATACACAGTATCCTTATTTTTATTCTAATTATGTACAAATTATGTTTGTAAATCATTTGTAAACACGTGTTGCAATAAAATTGTAAAGAAGTAGGTTTAAATATCCGCTATTAAAAGCGATAAATCTAAATTGATCTTTAAACTTTGACATTTTGAAGATACATTCTTTCTCAAATATGATTGATATTTACAGTCAGGCTTTTAAGTCCAGTTTTTGTGATACACGGAGGATTATAAATCCTTTATGTCTGATGAGTTTGTTTCTGTTATTGATAATACTATTAAGTACTCCTCAGCGCATTAAGATTTTACGTGACACTGGAGCTTCTCAGACTTTGTTGTTAGAAGGTATATTGCCTTTGTCCGAAGAGACTTCTGTTGGTTCTTACATATATATATATATCTTTATTCTGACAAACCTTCGTCAATACAATGGTATACAGAAGTTACATGTAATAAATAGTACAGTTATAAATTAAAATAAACATAATATGTACACTATTTACAAATCTA